ATGTATAGAGAAAACATCTCATATCCAAGAGTGACTCCTTGTTGAAACACTCGAGGAGAAAACCCAAATTCCCAAAAAGCCAAACGGCTAAACAATAATTGTAAATCGCTTTTTTAAATAAAACCACTATAACAAAATGACTAAAACTACTCTAAAGAGAAACAAAAAAAACTGCATAATTATATTTAATACTGTCCGAAAACATAAAAATTTCTATACTTTGCCTTTGAGTGTTCGGCGTTCACTGCATTATACCAAAAAATCATAAAGCAGCAAAGACACCACACTACACCAAAAGCCAACCAAAACAAAACTAACTATATAAAATTATCAAGAAAAACTAATCCTTAATTAATCCTTATCCAGAAGTGCAGTAAGCTCTCTAACAACCTCATCAATCTCCTCATCCTTCCTCTCCGCAAGCCTGTCCTTCATCCCCGCCGCTGCCCGCCGGAAAACCTCGCCGGATTCCTCCACCACCACCCTCCTGACTGCCGCCGCCAGCGCCTCCCCACGCAGCCTCCTGTCCTTTCCCCTGACCACCTCGACTCCCACCCCCACATTCTCCACGAGCCTCGCGTTGACCGGCTGGTCAAGGTGCATCGGCACAGCCACAATCGGAACCCCCATCGTCATGCTCTCCATAACCGAGTTCCACCCGCAGTGGCTCACGAAACCCCCCACATTCTCGTGGCCGAGTATCCTTGCCTGCGGGGCCCACCCAATTACGATATTGCCCCTGCCCGTCGCCCGCACCCTGTCCATGAACCATCCCGGCAGGGCCACTTCCTCGTCTCCTTCCACTTTCGGCGACCGCACCACCCATATAAAGTTGACCCCGCTGAGCTCGAGGCCGAGGGCGATTTCGTCCGTATCGTCCCTCGACAGGAAGTACTCGCTCCCGAACGAGACGAACACCGTCGACTTCCTCTCCTTGGAGTCGAGCCACTCGAGGACGTCGAGGTCCGGTTTTTCGACCGGGCCGACCCCGACGACGAGCGGGCCCACGGGAACGAACCTTTTGGAAACGAGCGAGCCTGCGTAGTCGATGTACGGGCCCTCGATTTCTCGAAACCCCTTGACGAGGACTATCCCGCACGACTCCTCGATTCCCCGGAAAACCATCTCGCGTTCGACCGGGTCGTTGGCGCAGTCGAGCAGTTTCTTGATCTCGCGGGCAGAGTCGTAGTCTCGGAATTGGATCTCGGGAAACGGGTAGGGCCGGTCGCCGGCCGGGTGTTTGGAGTAGTGGCACATGAGGCTGGCCATGGTGCAGCTGCACGTGACGAACTGCACGGCGGGGAGGCCGTGGGCGCGGGCGAGGCGCGGGACCCACGGCTGGAGGAAGTCGTAGATGATTAGGTTGGGAGAGAGGTCCGTGAGGATGTCGGAGAAGCTGTCGATTGCGTCGGGGGATTGTAGGGCGGACTTGAGGCTCGGCATTAGGTTCGGAGGGAGGCCGTTTGTGGTGTGGAGAGAGCACGGGAGGTTGGGGGAGGACGGGAGGAGGAGAGGGACGAGGTTTATCGAGCGGCGGCCGGCGGTGGTGGTGATTTTTTGCTCGATTGAGGAGAGTGTGGCTAAGGTGGAGACGAGGTAGATTTTGACATTGGCTCGGCTGGCGGCGAGTTTCGTGCCGAGCTCGAGGAATGGGGTGATGTGGCCGTAGCCGAGCCAGGGGAACATGACTATTTTGATCTCTTTCGAGTTCGAGTTCTTCATCTGTTGGCTCAAGTTGAGGGCAAAGGAAAAAAAATGGTGTTTTTTCTTTTCTCCAAGTGTTCTTGAGGAGGAGAAGTGAATGGTTTTGTTTTTGGGGGGTGTTTGGGAGAGTATTTGTAAGGAGGGATGGTGTGTGCAATGGATGGGGAATTGAATGTTGAGAGAGGGAAAGAAAATCGGTTTGCATATTTGGTGTTGGGAGAAAAATGGAAGGAGTTAACGGTATTTGGATAATACGGTTTTTTGCAGTTGAAGTTGAGATACTTTATTCGATTTTTTTTCCTTGCTTGACATATTTGTGATATTTTTTATTTTTCCGAGAATACATGGTGAGATACGTTGACATATTTGAGATACATGTTGAGATACGTTGACATAATTTTTTTTACATATAAAAATGATTAATTATTTATCAAATACCTTACATAATCCGTTAATTCAATAAGTTACCTATATCGTCAGTCGCATAATCCAATCTTTCTACTCAAATCTTATTCAATCAGCTATCTCTCATATACAAGGTCAAAATATCTCAATACATTAAAAATCATACTTAATATATTAATTTTGTTATTCCTTTTCCTTTTTAACTAGTACAGAGCCCGTGCGATGCACGGGGTGCACAATTTTAAGGTTATTTATCGAGGCTTATAATTATATACATGAATAAAGAAAAATGTACGGGATATATATAGTACGTGACCCGTGCAAAGCACGATATATATTTATTTAGAGAATATTATATTATAAGATGCAATATTCAATAAAAGTTTATAATACGCAAGAAAATTGTACAATGTTCAATAAAAGTTTTATAATATTAAAGTGGAGTCTTAAAGTCTCTTGTACATTAAGACTACTGATAAAATAATATTTTAATCAATGAGTTTCCTTTCCTTGTAGCCAAATTGTGAATGTGATTTGAGGAGTACAACAAATCGATATATAGCTGACTTGCTTTTTGTGTTGTAGTTTTTTTTCTTTTTTCTTTTTTTTTATAATGAATTTAAAGATATTCTAAAATATAGCAAAAATTATTTTTTTTATTACAATTAGGAATTTTACTAAATATAAACTCTCAATCTATGGTGTTAATCAACGTTTAAGTCTAATAAATTAGGATTTTTTACCTCTTTTAATCAACGTTTAAGTCTAAAAAACAATCGAGTTATTATAAGGTTTTTTTTTTATATCTTTTAAAACATTAAATATGAGCATGTTAGAGCTAGCTTGTAAAATAATTAATATATTATCTCACTAAAACATTTATATTAATAAAAATTTAATTTTAGCATATAAATTTATCCCTTGATATAAGAGAAAGTAACAGTTTTACTTATTGTTGTTCACCATATAATATTTAATTATTATTTTATTATATAATAAAAAAGAAATATTGTTAAATAGTGTAGTAGAATTGTTATAAAATTATATGATTTTTTTTTACAATATGGATTTAATATTCTTTTTATGATTTGATAATATTAACAAATCTATACTTAACTTTGAAAAATAAAAAAAATAGATACTTTAGTAAGTATTTAATGTATATACTAAATAGGAATATATTTGATAAAATCAAATACCAAATATAATCAAATAAGTCAAAGTGTACATTTTTATTTGGTATTTGATTTTTTTATTATTAAAATATTTTTATTATACTTACCTTTTTAAAGTAAAATAAATAAATAAATCAATTAAATAAATAAAATATTATAATACCAAAATAGTAATGGCATTTAATGCAGTTGACTTTTCTGGATAGTAAATATAGTAAATAGAATCTCCTTTTATATAAGTATAGATTGTATAATACGGAAATAGTAATACAATAAATGTTGTTGACTTTTCTTTATACTAAATTTGGTAAATGGTATACCTTTTAATATAAGTATAGATACCCCAATAAGAATAACAGATTTTTTTATTATCTCCTAATGGAGCCCGAGATCTTTATAGATTCACAAGTATTGAACACAATCATCCAATCATGCAATAAATACGAAAGGATAAAAGTAATAAATTACATAATAGAAAAATGTACAACACTAGACATTACATAACAAAAACAAAATCACAAAGGATAACATATGAAGTTGGGTTATTTTTTATACACAAAAATGAAAGTTACAAAAAAAAAAAAAAAAATGCAATAGAAAAAAAAAAGTTACATATTTGATAACAATTTATCAATTCCCTCCCAATTGTGACATTTCCAGTTTTGGGCATCCCCATATTGTTACATTTTCCTCTTTCACAGCAAAACCAATCCTCTCCAACTCAGGCAAGCACACCAGCTCCATTCTCTCAATCTCCACCAGGGACCCACCAGCAATTTCAAACAGTTCCTTCAGCCCATCACATGTCTTGATCTCCACAACTCCAGGACTCACAGGACCCAAATCAAGAAAATTCTTCACCAGGGGCATCTCAGCAATTCTCAGAGTTTTCAAATTTGGCGCCTTGAACCCAATCCTCTTCAGCCGGGGGCACTCGCCGACTCTAAGCGTCGTCAGGGAGGACAAAGCCCACCCGAGCTCGACTCTCCCGAGGCTCGGTAAACCCCACAGATGGAGGGCCATCAGGTTCCGCATCATCCGAGCCTCCTCCGAGCCTTCGTTTTTTTCCTTGGAGAAGAGCGACTCGAAGTTCTCACAGTATTTAATGTATAGAATCTCGAGGCTTTCGAGATTCTTGCAGCTCAGCTCGGTGAGTTTCGGACAGAACTCCAAGTACAATGATTTGAGCCCTCGGAAAAAACCGATGCTTTTGAGCTTCGCCGCCTCGGAAATCCATAGCGTCTCGAACGAGTCGAGATTGTTGTCTGAATTATTAACGAACGCGTGCTCCAGCTTGTTGCACCTCTCGATCCAGCAAGCCTTGATACTGTTCTTAGTCCAGTCGGTGCATAAATCGTTAAGCGAAGTTAAAAACAAGCTGTCGATGAGGATGATAAAATCTGATTCTTGCAGCAGGGGATCGATGCAGAGTGGGACTTTTACGAACTCGCGAAACTCTAAAATTTTTCTGAATTTTCGATTAGTCACTTGGCTGAGGTAAGCGTTTCTTACATCGGTCTCGTCTGAGTAGTCTTGCTTGTCCGGCAAGTAATGCTCCGCCGGCGCCTCGGAAGGGTAAATGAGGAAATTAAACCGCTCGAACGAGTCCTTCAAGAATTTCGGGTACATTTTGAGGAGATGAAGGAAATGAAAGCCGCTGATCGAGGAATTGTGTCCGTTTTCTTCGTCTCTCCAGTTCGAAATGCTCCAATTGCGGTAAGTTTCGGAGCTTTCTTGTTGTTCAGGCAGTGGACGAGTTAGCTCGGGAGGTATAGCATTCGCGCCGAGGTCTTTAAGGAGTTTATCAGGAAAAATATTTTCCATGCTCGGGAAAACCGGGCCCAGCACGCGACAATTGGGATGGAAACTCGGCGATGGTTTCAAGAAAGTTCCGGAATGATCGAGAATTTTGAGGGCGAGGATCTGATCGAGTCCTTGCAGGGTGGTTATTTTCGGACAGTCTTTGACGTGAAGTTCCCCGAGATTTATGTTGTTCGAAAGGGAAGGTAGCTTCTCAAGCATGGATAATCCCGACACGTCGAGGTAGTTAAGAAGGCACATTTTGTCGAACGAGCCGTCGCTAATCTCGGTTAGATTCTTACATCCCGAAAGATTGAGCCTTTCCAACTCCCGTAACTCGCTCAAGCTCCCGCTTTCGAGCTTCTCCAACGACTCGCATTTCGAGAGACACAATTTACGAAGAGTCGTGCCGAGGCTCGAAAGGAACGAAAAGTCTTTCACGCCCGTTCTCGATAAGTTCAGCTCCTTTAAACGCGCGGCGTTTTTGAAAAACTCGACTCGAATATCCGCTAATTTCGTCGAGCCCGACAGGTCGAGGACCTCGACTCTCGACAGGCCTTCGATGGGAGTTAGCCTCGTGAGCTCACGACACTCCCGCATGTAAACGTACCGCGGGTTGGCGATGTTGGACGGAAGCTTCCGGAAAGCCGTCTTAGAAATATCGAGGTAATCGAGGCTCTCGAGATATTCCAAACACGGGTCGAGAAACTCCTCGACTTTCTCAGCTCCCGAGATGTCGAGGATTTGGAGGCGGGCGAGTTTGGCGATCCTTCGAATTCTCGTTAGGGAGAGGCAATCGGTTAGGGAGAGAGACTCGAGTTTTTGGAGGTGGTAAATAATGGGGAGAGTCTCGATTTTCGTGCCGGATAAGTTTATGATTCGGAGTTTCTTGTTCGTCACGAACATCTTGTCGTGAATGCTCGTCACGGATTCGTCGCCCGAGATGTCGAGCACCTCGAGGTCTTCGAAATTCTTCAGGCTTTCGAGCTTTTCGAGGCTTTTGCAGTCTTTAAGGATTAGGATTTCTAGTTTGGTGAGTTGGGTGTAGAAGCTTTTAGGCAGGGACTTAATCTTGAGACAGGACAAGTTGAGGTTTTTAATGTTTGGCATGTCGTTGAAGAAATGGTCAGGGATATTTTCGAGGTTGATCGAACCCGATAGCTCGAAAGCCGTGAGGTGTTCCCATACACGATACGGAGGAGTGATTTCGAGAATTTGGTCGACCGTGTCGAAAAACTCGCAGCCTCTCACGACGAGCAGCCGAAGCTTGCTCATCTCGGAGATCGGGAGCGGGAAATATCTTCCCGTCGGGTTTAAGACGGCGAGATTCTCGATCGCGTCGCGGCCCGAATCGAGAACTTCGCGCATCTCGATTTTCCCGATGTGATTTCCCTCCAAAACGAGCGTCGATATTTTCGACGCTCGCTCGGCGATCACCGTTTTTATGGCCCCGTGCCCGACCGCGATCTTCCCGAGCCGGCATTCGAAAGTCGTGGCGAGGCCCAAACGGACGCCTTGGAAGAAACTGTAGTATTCCCGAACGTCGAACTTGAACGACCGGGACCCGCTCGACACGACGTGGCCCGATTCTTGATTCTCGAGCAACCCGAGCTCGAGGAGCTCGATCAAGACTCGGTGGCCCTCCTCGTACGCGTCCTTGATTCGCGTGAAATGACCTAAATGCCCCTCGAGTATCCAATAGGTGATGAGCTCGTTGTACCCGACCGCCTGGCCTCGGGTGAGGAAATGCCCGTCGAGAGTCTCCGTGCTGAAGCAGTCGATCATGACGCTTTTCGGGAGGACATCTTCGTACCGATTTACGAGCATTGTCACCAAATCGTCGAAACTCAACGGGCCGTCGTTTTTCTTCTCCTTCTCGAGTTTCTCCTTTTCGTTTTTAAGCATTCGAAGCCGAGTTTCGTCCTTCGCGAAATAACTCAAGGTTTTCGCGATGATGAGAATCTCGGAAGGGAATCTACGGCTCTTCTCGATGAGCTCGTCGGCCAACTCGCCTTTGATGATGAACGATTTCGCCTCTTCTCGAGTCCAAGGCATCACCATCATCCCGCGCTCGTTTAGCGCGGGCCGGTTTTTTGTAGTGACGAGGATATTAAAAGATTTGAGCTTATTAAACGCCATAATTTTGTGCAAATTTATACCTTCTTCTTCTCCCAATTTACTCAAAAAATACTCTGTAATATTATTAGAGCTGCCTTCCTTCACTTTTTTCCCTGTTACTTTATCCAACTTTGCATTGAACTTCATTTTACTTCCCTCATTGTCTAATATCAAGAGAAGCTTCTTTTTTTCCAATTTCGAATCTATCTTATCATTATCGTCACCTTGTTTCTTATCGTTATCGTCACCTTGTTTCTTATCGCTATCGTCACCTTGTATCGACAACTGATAAACGATACTCTGTTTAAGACTCGTGACATCGTAAATCCTATCGAGATATACCCAAATCGCAAAGTCAAACTCTCCTTGTCTTATGGCACGATCGGCTATTTTTTTGGCCATCCAAGTTTTCCCTACTCCCGATTCGCCGTAAAGAATCAATTTTTCGGCATTGTTCATGTTTTGGCGGGAAAGAATCAAATTTTTGACATTAATGTTCATGTTTTCCAAATACTTATACATCCTTTTCAACTGATCCATTACATTTGGATTCTTTAGTAATCTGCATTAACGGTTTACTAATTAACATTCGTAGTCTATCGATAGAATGAGCTAATGAGAAATACATCGAATACTCAGGAGAAAAGTTTTTTTTTTTTTTTAAAGTAAGTGCTTACTTGATGATCTCAATGAACTCTTCGTAGTTGAAATCGTGTGCTTCATTTTCGGTACGAAACTTAACTTGATTAATCGTCTCCTCGACTTCCCAATGCGTGAGCTCAACGTCTTGTTTTTCCATGAAAGTTAGGAAAAAATGGACGGGGTCTAGAGGATGATCGTGTTCGTTTTGAGCCTCGTTCAGAAGCTCGAGAGCATTTTGTAATGAATCATCACTTTCTTGGCTTATAATCTTCAGGATTTCATCGATTTTGGCCTTGGCCTCGGCCGGGATCTCCCTCGGCATCGTGTCGGCTTGAGCACTCATAATGCAAACTAGAGAGAGAGAGATAGAGATTAGTAAGTTGTGGTTATGACAGAGTTGAGCTATTATGTTAAATGTCATATTTTCTTGATTTTTTGAATTTTTCTTCAATATGCAGATGTATAATTTCCAGCATGGTTTAAACCAGAATTAGACAATTATAATTTTGTTTAACGAATATGTGTATTTTCATATTACAAGTGATGTATTTTAAAAATAAAATAACATAAATATAAGTATGAGAATTTCTCAGTACAATTTTCTTTTTTTTTTTCTTTTCCAATAAATAAGCTCACATAAAAAAATAAAAAATAAAAAAAAATTGTGTAGATACATACAAAAAGTGCAAACTTTTATGTAAAGACAAAATCCTAAATGAACCTGGAAGATGCAGATAAATTCACTCTGCTTCAAATTCAAATGACTTGCTGGAATGTTTTGATATATCAAAGTCTTATGCGTGGATATTTATAGCCATAAGCATGAAAAATATTCTTAATCAACTCTAACAAGCCAAGAATCACTTAATATAATATGTCTTTCTTGTAGTTCTTATGAAATAAAGTATGAACGTCAAATCATGTTAGCACAAAAGCCATAGAATGTAAAAGAGAAGAACAATTTGGGGGCACGTTATTAATTAGCTTCCTTAATCATTTATTATAATGGGAGGGCTTGACCGTCTGATAAATGAATTTTTTAGTGTTTGTTGATTAATGCACATATATTCAATTATTCCTACTAGTATTTGTTGATTTTATGGGAAAAAACTGCTTACAAATTGCTTATATCAAACTAACTATACAATTGTTTTATTCGTATTATAGTAATTTATAATACTATTTTCGGTAGTACCTACTACGTACTGTCATTGAATATACTTAATTTTTAGATAGCCATATTTTTTAATATAGTATGCATTTATTTTTTAAAATTTGATATACTGTATGTTGATCTGTGCAATCGCCTGTGAGTCTCACAAATATGATATATTGATCCGTGTAATTGCCGTTAATATCGGTGTATTGCTTTCCAATTTAATGAAAAAAAATGAAGTGGATGAAGGAAAAAATTGAAACCAATAAACCACGTTTCAACCTACGATATTATAATAATACTTTACCATTACTTTGGACTAAATTTTTTTACGCTGTGAAAAGGGGGGGAACTAAATGAGATCTAATGTTACTAAATAAATAATAATAACTTGAAAAAGGCATAAACATTACATTTTCATTTCTTATTTACATATTTTCTTTTGAATATTTTGAGGTAAACGTGCAACACATTCTAAAGCTTCCAAACGACGGGGAAAAAAAATGGAGTATTCGTATGGCTTTAGTTGATTTGGTTTTGCTTTAGTTTCACGAAAATCATATTTTATTAGATGCTCCACTTTATGTAAAATTCAAACTAAAAATTTGAGAGAATATGATAAGTATAGATATAAACGAGTTGAGTCGATTCAAGTTTGAGCTTCTGACATTTGAGTTCAAAGCCGAGCTAGCAAAACTTATATAAACGACTTATACGAGTTGAGTCAATTCAAGTCTGAGCTTATGACATTTGAGTTCAAAGCTGAGCTAGCAAAACTATTATAAACGACTGATACAAATTAACAAGCTCAAACTTGATGTGTTTTTAATATTAACAAGCTGAAAGAGAGTCTTAACAAGTCAAGAAAAAAAAAATGAAGAAATAGGAAAACATATGAGA